GTCCACCGGCAAGCTCGTTGAAGAAGGCATGGCGGTCGGTATCATCGGCGCTCAGTCGATCGGTGAACCTGGTACACAGCTCACGATGCGTACCTTCCACTCAGGTGGTATCGGTACTCGCGATGTTCTTGATACCGAGTATCGTGCGCTCAATAACGGTACCATCGAGATCCGCGACTGTAACGAGGTCACGGTGCAAGACGAAGACGGCAACGATTGCTATGTCTCGCTCAAGCGAAATGGTGAACTCGCGATCCTCGACGATGCGGGTAAAGAACTCGAGAAGACCAAAGTCCCTTACGGTGCATTCATCTACGCGAAGAACGGCGACACTGTGAAGCGCGGAACCGCGCTGCTCCAGTGGGACCCTCACCGTACACCGACACTCGCAGAGAAGCCGGGTACTGTACAGTTCGTCGACATCGAAGTCGGCGAGACTGTACGTGAAGAGGACGCGGGTCGTGGTCAGAAAGCGCTTGTGGTCATCGAACACAAGGGCGATAAGCATCCACAGATCAACATCGTGGACGATGAAGGTCACATTCTCGACTTCCACTACCTGCCTGCCAAGGCGCGTCTGGAAGTCACCGATGGTGAGGTCATCGACTCTGGTCACATGATCGCGCGTCAGCCGCGTTCTGCAGCAGGTTCCGCGGACATCGTCGGTGGTCTGCCACGTGTTACGGAAATCTTCGAAGCACGCAAGCCGAAGGATCCAGCTGTTATGGCTGAGATCTCAGGTGTGGTCGAGATCCACTCCGACAAGCGCAAGGGCAAGATGACCATCCGCGTCATCTCCGACTCCGGCATCGAGAAGGACCACCACGTCCCGAACGACAAGGCGCTGCTCGTCCACGCCGGTGACTTCGTCACAGCGGGTGACTCGTTGACTGAAGGTCCTCAGATCCCGCACGATATCCTTCGTATTAAGGGTGAAGAGGTCCTCTGGCAGTACATGCTCGACGAGGTCCAGAACGTCTACCGCGCTCAGGGCGTGCCGATTAACGACAAGCACATCGAGCTCATCCTGTCGCAGATGCTCCGCAAAGTCCGTGTCGAAAACATCGGTGACACCGACATGCTCCCACACGACATCGTCGACAAATACAAGTTCCGCAAGAAGAACGCAGAAATCGCGGGCATGCTCCGCGTGACCGATGCGGGAACCACGCCGCTGCGTGTTGGGGAGCTGTATCCGAAGGACGAGGTCAAGGAAGCGAACATGAAGGCGGAAGCCGAGGGAGGCGAGATCGCGAAAACCAAGCGTGCTCGTCCAGCATCCGCTCGTACGCTGCTCCTTGGTATTACCAAGGCAGCACTCTCGAGCGAGTCATTCCTCTCAGGTGCGTCCTTCCAGGAATCGACCAAGGTTCTGACCGAAGCATCGCTCCGCGGCGCCGAGGACGAACTCATCGGTCTCAAGGAGAATGTCCTCCTCGGACACCTCATCCCGGCAGGTACCGGCTTCCGCAAGTACCAGGACATCCGCGTCAAGACGCTCGTCAGTCCAGAAGAACTCGAAGAAGCGATGGCTGACGACGAGTACTACAACGATGCCGAGCTCGAAGCCGAGATGTCGCAAGACCAGTACGAGACGGCAGAGGTCGGCTCGCCACAGGTCGAGATCCGCGATGTCATCGTTGGTGAATCCCCAGCGGAAACCACCAGCGACAGCTGATCCGCTCGGATAATCGAGACTCTCAACAGAGACTCAACGAGGGCACTCCAAACGGAGTGCCCTCTTTCATTGATCGACCGCTTTCATCCTACAAATACAAGGCCTACGCTGGATCATGCCTGATGCAACCGTCTTTGAAGTCTTCCCCACCCCCTCGGATTCGCCGTTCGTGATCGAACACATCGCCGAGGAGTTCACGAGCATGTGCCCGATCACCGGACACCCTGACTTCGGTGTGATCACGCTCCGCTACGAACCAAAGCCCACCAAAGACGGCGGCAAGTGCATCGAACTTAAATCCCTCAAGCTCTATTACCACAGCTTCCGCAACGAGGGCGCGTTCTTCGAAGCCGTGACGAACATGATCCGCGATGATCTGGTGAAAGTCATCGATCCGAAATGGCTCCAGATCGAAACCAACTGGAAGGGGCGGGGGGGCATCCGCTCCGTCGTCCGCGCCGACCACGGCGACGTCCCCAGTCACTTCTTGGGACGCTGATCAGTGACTTCAAAGTGGAAGACAACGCTTTGGGTACTTGTAGGGATTGTGGCCGTGCCCTTTACATGCTGTGGATCGGGTTATCTCGTATTGTTTTTCCACGCGCCTGTAACCTGGGAGTACGAGCCGAATTCTCTTGTGTCCGAGTTTCAAGATCACGAGTTTGTAGTCTTTATCAGGGGAAAGAACGATTACTACTTGGATCAGAGTGGGGCACGAAGCGTTAAGTTGAATGCCTATCGCATGAGCACAAACTCCGAGACTATTGTTCGGATTCTGAATGTGCAAGTTCATGGATCATTGTCGGGTGAGGTTATTGGATTCGATGCTGGGAGTTTGCCGGAAGTATTTGAGTTCGAGGAGCGCACTCCATACAAACATTCGTTATATGACCAGATGGCACATTGGAGTGGTCGGGATTTTAACATCGAACCGAAGTCTCAAGAGATCATCAATGTGATCATTCAAGTTGAAATCATCAAGCCTGGCAGTGATCCGGAGTTGCATGAGTTCAAGGCGCAGTTCAATCCAAAACGCATCCACAGGCCGATTGGGTATCACATGCCACATGCCTGACCATGTTTTTACGGATACTCCTGCCGTGTCGGACGGATGACCGCATCGCAGATATGCACCGCCGCGGGTTGTGACACGATGAACCCGATCGAGCGGGCGATGTCCATCGGAGTCAGCACAGGCGCGATGCTGTCCATCAGCTCCCCGAACTTCTGCTCGTCGTATCCCGCGACCTGCTGGAACTCAGACCTCACAATCCCCGGCTCGATGAGTGTCACGCGGACACCCTTAGGACCAAGCTCTCGACGAGCGGCTTCGGCGAGAGAGTTGACGGCGAACTTGGTGGAGCCATACATGGATGAAAACGGCGAGATGTGACGACCCACAGTCGATCCCAGAATCACCAAATCAGCGGCTCCTCCGTCGGGCCAATCCCGCGATTCCTGAAGCTCAACGAGCTTGGAACCAGCAGAGCGGATCAGATGCGCCGCTCCGAGCAGGTTTGTGCGAACCATCTCCTCCCATTGCGACGTATCAGAGGTCATGACCGAGCCGTTGAGCCCTCTACCGGCGTTGACGACCACGATATCGGGGATTTGGGCACCCAGTTGTGTCGATGCCCCCATCATTTCGTCGATAACGGACTGATCGGCGGCATCTCCCGCGACCACGACGGATCTGGATGATCCGTCAGCAGTGGGGTACTGGTCGTCGATCCGCTGAGCGAGCTCAGTGAGCTTGTTCTCGCGGCGTGCGTTGAGGATAAGCTTGGCACCGAGCGACGCGAGGTGGAGAGCACAGTCGCTGCCTATTCCTGCGGATGCGCCGGTAATCAGGGCGATTCTGGATTCGAGTGGATGGTTGATTGATTGCACAGCAGAACTCCTTGATTGAGTGTACGCGACGAGTTGAATGAATAGGATGGGCCATGACGCACAAGAATACGAGTTTCATCAAGCACCAAACCCTCACGCTCCTGAGCGCCTCGATTCTGGTCGCTTGCTCAGGGACGCTGGGTGGTTGCAAAGCGATCAAGAAGCACCAAGACCGCAAAGCCGCGGAGCGTGAAGCGCGTCAGATCGAAGAGATGCAGACCAACGAGGACCCCCAGACCACTGCTCAGAACGAGCAGCCGGTTGATCAGTCCGAGTGGATCCAGCAGCAGCGTCCACGCGAAACACCGACTGAGACCCAGTCCAACGCTCGCACAGAACCAGAATCGCTCGATGAAGTCGTGATGGAGATCATCGACGAGCGTCCATCGGCAAACGATGGTTCGCGTCCAGTTCAGACAAATGATCCGATCATCGACCTTCCGTCCCCCAAATCTCGAGAAGAGCAATCGCTCGCACGAGCGGTAGATTTGTACTCCAGTGGGGATCTGGAAGCGGCACTGCGTGAACTGGAACGAGCGATCGCGATCAACCCACGCTTCACGCGTGCGTATATCGAATCGGGTGATATCTACATGGAGATGGCGGACTACGAACGCGCCGAGCGTCAATACGCCGCAGCGGTCCGCAACGAACCACGCAACTACCTCGCTCAGTATCGTCACGCCAATGTGCTTCACAAGCTCGGAGCACTCGAAGAGTCCAAGCGTGCGTATCTCAGAGCACTCTCGATTCGTCCAAGCGCTTTCGATGCGAACCTCGGACTCTCGATCGTGCATCTCGAATCCGGAGCGGCTGAACAAGCGATCCCCTATGCACAGCGTGCTGTCCGCGCTGATCCACCAAGCGGTCGTGCTCGCATGCACCTCGGGAATGTGTACGCGGCGATGGATCAGCACGAGGACGCGATTGTTGAGTATCAACAAGCAGCGGACATGATGGAAGCACCGGGAACCGGATTGCTCCTGAACCTCGCCGACTCACTCAATCAGCTTGAGCGCTACGCCGAGATGGTCGCGGCTCTCGAGCAGCTCGTGCTCATCGAGCCGGACACCGTCGCGTACGAACGATTGGGATCGGGATACTTCCGCTTGCGACGCTATGACGACGCGCTCAAAGCGTTCAACTCTTCCGTAAACCTCGATCCGAACCACTACCCCGGACTCAACGGCATCGCGGTCTGCGAACTCAACAACTACCTTTGGAACGGCAAGACCGACGCGGGCGCCCGCGAGCGAGCGGTTGACGCGATGCGCCGCTCACTGCGTATCGAGCGTCAGCAGCCACGGATTGTCGAACTGCTGCGTCGCTACTCCAACGCGGCTGGCAGCGAGCAATAATCAATCCGCACTGATATACAAGCATAAAAAAACACGCCCGATCGGGCGTGTTTGCTTTTGGATGGATATCGGCATCAAGGGAAGATGCCGCGGACCTTGTAGACATCACCGATGTGATCGAGCGCGGATGCGAATGCCGCGGTACGTAGCGAGCAGTTGAGCTCGTTGCGACGCTCGAGCGTGCGTTGTGCCGCGACGACCATGTGGCGGTTGAGCTCGCGGTCAACTTGCTCCGCAGACCAGGTCACGGCGTTCTTGTTCTGGACCCACTCGAAGTAGGAAACCGTCACACCACCAGCGTTCGCGAGGATCGCTGGGATGACCTCGATGCCACGCTCGTCGAGCTTGCGGTCTCCTCCTGGATCACACGGAGCGTTCGCGGCTTCAGCCATGACCTTACAGTCGAGCCATTCCGCTTGCTTCTCTTTGATCATCTGCTCAAGAGCACCAGGGATGAAGACATCGACCGGAGTACGGTAGAAGGTCTCCTCATCGATCTCGTCTGCCTTGTCGTATCCAGCGACGCCGCCGGTCTTCATGTTGTACTGGTAGAGTTCCTTACAGTCGATGCCGTTGTCGTTGCGGATACCACCGGTGTGGTCCATGACTGCGACGATCTTGGCGCCCATGTCTTGGAGGATCTGCCCGCCCCAGCCGTTCACATTACCGAAACCAAGGAGCGAGACTCTCATGCCTTGGAGTGGGATGCCGATGCCTGGGAGCATCTCTGCGAGCGTGTCCGCGACGCCCTGACCGGTTGCTTTTTCGCGTCCGGCGGATCCGCCAAACTCGACCGGCTTGCCGGTGACACAGCGGAGCGCGTCGTGGTGCTGGTGTGCGGAGGACATCATGTAGGTGTCCGCGAACCACGCCATGATCTGTGCGTTGGTTCCAACATCCGGCGCTGGGATGTCGACATCCGGACCGATCTGGTCCATGATCGCGCTGCAGTAGCGGCGGGAGAGTCTTTGGAGTTCGCCCTCAGAAAGTTCACGCGTATTGACTTTGACACCACCCTTGCCGCCTCCGAATGGGATGCGGACAACAGCACATTTCATCGTCATCAGGAACGCGAGCGATTTGACATCATCGAGGTGGACATCTGGGTGGAATCGGAAGCCACCTTTGTAGGGGCCGCACGCATTGTTGTGCTGGATGCGGTATCCCTTGAAGAGCTTGTGGTGCCCGTCGTCCATCTTGACTGGGAAGTGAACCATGATCTCGTTCTTAGGTTGAGCGAGAATGATCCGCGTGCGGTGCTTGAGGTTAATGAGTTCCGCGGCTCCCAGCATCGTGTTCACAGTCTGGGTGTACAGGTTGTTGGGATCATCCGGGAATCCGAGTTCATCGGTGACCGATCCGCGGGGGAGCTCTGTCGCTGTTGCAGTCATATGTATGCATCCAGTCAAGCGTCCGGTGTAAGCCGGGCGGGCGTCTCACGCCTTGTGACGCAGCACCCGATCGCACAGATCCGATGACGCGCTGCCCATCGTCATCGGGCGGCAAAACGACAGCCGCCGGGACTTGAATCATACCCCTTCTCAGTTCTTCTCGGGCTGTTTTTCTGGATAAGCAGGGAGGTATTCTTCAAGAGATTTTTGACGAGTTTCTCCACAAGTACACCGATGGCTCGATACTCCCATCCGATGGCGAAAATTGGAACAGTTTAAATTGTCGAAATCTCCGTAATTCAGTGCCTGTACAGGTTTTCTGATCGTCTTGGAGGTTCTATCCTCTCTTCCCGCTTTCGGAGCAATACCGAGGCGGGATCGGCCTTCGTGCGCCGCTGGAAGGTCCAGCAGCGCCAACAAGCAAACCCAAGCCGCTTCCATGAGGGAGCACCCGACTTGATCTGTTCCAAGATTGATTCGGTGATCAAGATCGACAACGCTCGGCCGACGGCGTCAATCCTTGATCAATCTGTCCGCTCGCGGGCAGGGAAGGAACCAAAAAATATGATAGATGAAAATCTAATCGCTTCACTCGGTATCAACGACGACGAAGCGATGGCACTTCTGGGCGAAGCCTTCGGCGGATCCGACAGCTCTGACCAGATGGATTCGATTCTCACTGAACAAGCCACCGATCTGACCTCGGGCAAGCTCATCAAGGGCACCGTGATCGGATTTGCGGGTGACGATGTCGTAGTTGATGTCGGACTCAAGAGCGAAGGCTTGATCGACAAGGATGAGTTTGAAGACATGACCGGTCTCAAGATCGGTGACGAAGTCGATGTGCTTCTCGAATCGCTCGAGAACTCAGAAGGCATCGTGGAACTCTCCAAGCGCAAAGCAGATCGTCAGATCGCTTGGCAGCGCATCGTTGACACTACCAAAGAAGAGGATGTCATCGAAGGTATGGTCATGCGGAAGATCAAAGGCGGTCTTCTCGTGGACATCGGTGTCCCTGTGTTCCTCCCGGCATCGCAGGTCGATATCCGCCGTCCACACAACCTCGATGAGTTTGTTGGACGCAAAATCCGTGCTGAGATCCTCAAGATCGACACCGAGCGTCGCAACATCGTGATCTCGCGTCGCCGTCTCGTTGAGACCGAGCGTGCAGAAGCGAAGCGTCGCTTGATGTCCACCCTTGAAGAGGGCCAGATCGTCAAGGGTACAGTCAAGAACATCGCGGACTTTGGTGCGTTTGTTGATCTCGGCGGCATCGATGGGCTCCTCCACATCACCGATATGTCGTGGGGTCGTATCAATCATCCATCGGAGATGCTCAAGATCGATGACAAGGTTGAGGTCAAGGTCCTCAACATCGATCACGACAAGGAAAAGATCGCTCTTGGTCTCAAGCAGACCGAGTCGTCACCTTGGGAAGAAATTGAAAATCAGTTCCCAGTCGGCTCACGTATCAAGGGTGAAGTGGTCAACATCATGTCCTACGGCGCGTTCATCCGCTTGGATGAGGGCATTGAAGGCCTGGTCCACATTTCCGAGATGTCGTGGACTCGCCGCGTGAATCACCCGAGCGAGATCGTCAATCCAGGCGATGAGGTCGAAGTCGTTGTCCTTGAGATCGACAAGAACAAGCAAGAGATCTCGCTCGGCATGAAGCAGGTCGAGGTCAACCCTTGGGAACTCGTTTCCGAAAAGTACCCTCCAGGCACCATCGTCACTGGCGCGATCCGCAACCTCGCGAACTACGGCGCGTTTGTTGAGATCGAACCCGGCATTGACGGCTTGCTACACATCTCCGACATGTCGTGGACCAAAAAGGTCACGCATCCGAACGAGCTGTACTCGAAGAACGACGAGGTCCAGTGTGTGGTCCTCGAAGTCGATCGTGACAAGCAACGCATCTCGCTCGGCATCAAGCAGCTGACTGAAGATCCATGGCTCGACGCGATCCCAAGCGCGTACCAGCCCGGTATGGTCGTCAAGGGCAAGGTCACCAAGATCACCAACTTCGGTGTCTTCGTTGAGCTCGAAGACGATCTCGAAGGTCTGCTGCACATCTCAGAGCTCGCTGATCACAAGATCGAGAATCCACAGGATGTCGTCGCGATCGACGAAGAACTGGAAGTCAAGATCCTTCGCGTGGACATCGACGATCGCAAGATCGGCTTGTCACTCAAGCGTGCACAGTGGGGTGACTCCGGCGATCTCGGAGACGCTGGAGGCGACTCCAACGACGGCGGAGGCATGGGCGGTTTCGGCGGCTCACCTGCACCTTCGCGTGGTGGTATGGACGATCACGGCTCCATGGGTACCGACAAGATCTCGCTCTAATGCAGCTTGAACGCTGGATCAGTGCACGATTGAAGTGCTCACAACCAAAACTTGCACACCCCGGCCAACGATGGACCGGGGTGTTTTTATAGAGTTCCCAGCGGGAGTGATGATGTCGTGCAACCTGATAAGATTGGTCACGGATACACAGTGAACTTTGAAGTGATCTGTGAACTGATGCTTGGTCCCCAATCGAGCATCAAACAACGCCGAGTACTGATATGCACACGGCGTGACCGATCACTCGACTATTAGCACAGTGCAACAAAGCACAGGAGGCTGAGGATGGCGACCCGCTTGCGAAGGTCATTGACTGCGAAGATAAGCTCAAAGCTGTTCATGGTGAAATCCTTTTTTCAGTTGTCTGATCAAAGAGTACCCCAACTCTCTGCGCGTGCAAGCACAATGCACGCATGTGAAGCAACTTCGAGTCGCTCTGTGCAAGTTTCACTTCTCGGACTCGCACCATCGATCGGGTTGGGTAATCTAGGGAACTTTCTGCGCATTCGACTCCATGTCATAGTGTTCGCAATCTCAGTTCTCGGACTGACGAATGCACATGCGCAGCAGCTGGACATCAATGAATCGATGCGTGTTTACCGGACGATTGACAGCTGGGTACGCGACTTGAGCGTCCCGGATGAACTGGGTGAACCCGTCCCCGCACTCAGCGTCGCGAGTGTCACGCTGCGTCTGGATGGTCAGGTCATCGGGAGAGGGCAGATTGTCCACGCAACACCAAATGAGATGGCCGTCGCACAAGCAACGCTCAGCGCGATCGCACAAGCAAACCAGTGGGTCCGCAACCGTGCGGATGTTGAGCCGAGTGAAGAAGTCTGGGAATCCATTGCTTCGCGGATGACACTTAGCGTTGAGCTTGCGCAAGACCTTGTCCCGATGAGTGAAGATTCGCTTGCGCAGCACGGCTTGGGTATGTCTCAAGGTGTTCATGCGCTCGCGATGCGTCTTGGTGAGCGTGCCGAGATTGTGACCGCTGATGAGATGTTCGCGCTCGGGATCGGGATGGATCGTGCCGCGTATTCCATGGCGACTGAACTCTCTGGAGACGGCGCCATGTCGCTCGCGTCGATCGGAGAGCTGCTCTCGCGTGGATACGAGTTCGCTCGATGCGAACCGATCTGGATCGCGCAGTCTGCAGAGGGTCGTGGGGGGGTGTTCATTGATCGTGGAGGACGAGTGATCGAGGAGTCCGCGATCGGACTCAAGTCCATCCGATCTATGGCGGATCAGCTTGCATCGTTCCTCGTCGCACAACGCTGGCCAGGTAGCGAGGCATACGGGATGGTCGGATCGCGCGATGTGATCAGTGGACGATCGAATCCCGAAGTCGCGCCAATCTATGAACAAGCACTCGTCGCGTACGCTCTTATGAAGTACGCCGATGACATGGGTGATCCAACAAAGCTCGCCGCGCGTGAGTTCGCGATGGACCTGCTCAGTGCGATCGCAGAGGTTCAGCCCGGAGAGCCGGCGCCTTGGGACGATCAAATCGGGAGTGCCGCGTGCATGCTCGCGTTCACAGAGTACGGATTCGGATTGCGGCCCGATACATTCGCGGCACTTGAAAGACGCTGTACCGAAACGCTCAACAAGACCTACACGCCGATCGATGGATTCGCATCGTCGCTTCCGCCCGCGGCTCAGGGACTCGTGGCGCACGCATTGGTCAAGATCAACCACGAGCACGCCGAGCATGCGGTCCGAGCCGTGTTCCGTGACACACAAGCGGGTGAGTTGGTAGCGCAGATGCCTTTCCTCGGATGGGCCGAGCTCGAACTTGCGAAAGGTAGGGAACAAGTCCCTGCATCCGAAGCACTCAACCAGATGCGTGCATTCGTTTGGGGGCATCAACTCGGCAAAGCCGACCTCGACTGGCGCGATCGTGATTACATCGGTTCCGTCGTGTTCACCAAAGGCACCAATCGGCTGCCCGGGAGCGAGAACATCCGTCCCATCGCGTTCCTGTGCTCGATGCTCGGAGATCCAAGACTCACCCAAGGCACCATCGCGGACTTCGAGGTCGCAAGCGAGATCGGACGCGTCGCGGCTTCGATGCGCTTCGTCAATCAACTGATGGTCGATGACACGAGCAGCTTCCTGAGCAGAGCGCCGCAGAGGAGTATCGGCGGAGTGCGCCAGTCCCTGACGGATTGGAATGCGAGCCCCGTCTCGTCAGCCTTGGCGCTGCTCGCGGCTCTGGAGTTTGAGGATTCCGTCCGCGCGATCGGTGCTCGACAAATTCCTGATCCGAAGCCTTGAAAGCAGACAAATCGATCGCTGTAAGATGTTTGTTTTCAACAGCTTTGGGATGTCGATTTTGATAGGATTTTGAGGGGTTCGCAAGGACCAAAATTCGTGGTGCGCCTATCATAGATGTCCCCGAAATTCGGTGATTTCCAGTGCGATCAATCGTGCGAAGGGGTCACCAAAAACGCCGCGTCTGTGTCGTTGGGGACCCCACTGGGAGACCCCGATCCATGAGCGACGAGCACGAGAACACACACGCGAACGATGACAATCAGCAACCCGAATCCGCTCCCATCGGAGGCGGTGCTGTGCTTGATCTGGACATCGAGCGTGAACTCCAAGACTCCTATCTGACGTACGCGATGAGCACGATCATGGATCGGGCGCTCCCTGACGTGCGTGATGGTCTCAAACCATCGCAGCGCCGCATCCTCGTCGCGATGAACGATCTCAACCTGCGACCAAACAAGAAGCACCTCAAGTGTGCGAAAATCTGTGGCGATACCTCCGGCAACTACCACCCGCACGGCGAGTCGGTGATCTATCCAACTATGGTCGGCATGGCGCAGAAGTGGAAGATGAACACACCGATGGTTCAGCCGCAGGGGAACTTTGGTTCCATCGACGGCGATCCTCCCGCGGCGATGCGATACACCGAAGCGCGTATGACGCACGCTTCGATGGACATGATGCAGGACCTGAAACTGTCCACGGTGGACTTCGCTCCCAACTACGATGATCGACTCATGGAGCCGACCGTGCTTCCAGGGAAGTTCCCAAACCTGCTCGTCAACGGCGGGATGGGCATCGCGGTGGGGATGGCAACGAGTCTCCCGCCGCACAACCCAACCGAGATCCTCGACGCGATCATCCGCTTGGTCAACAAGCCGGAGATCGACCTGCTCGAACTCATGACCGACGAGGTCGACGATGACGGCAATGTCGTCCGCCGAGGCGTGCAGGGTCCGGACTTCCCAACCGCAGGTCGGATCCTCGGACGCAAGGGCATCATGGACGCGTACACCTCTGGGCGCGGCCGCGTCACCGTCCGAGGCAATGTCCATGTTGAGGAAATGCGTCCGGGTCGCGATCAGTTGGTGATCGATCAGATCCCGTACTCGCTCGTCCAGAACACGCTCGTCGAGAAGATCGTCGAAGCGGTCAAAGACGAGCGGATCGTGGATATCGCGGATGTCCGCAACGAGTCTGGACGCAACGCGCAGACACGCATCGTGATCGAGCTCAAGAAGGGCGCCGATCCCGCGGTCGTCGAGAACCAGCTCTACCAGAACACCCCACTCCAGCAGACCTTCAGCATCATCAACATCGCGCTGGTCAATCGTCAGCCGAGAACGATGGGGCTCAAGCAGATGATGGAGTGCTATGTCGATCACCGAGTCGAGGTGATCACGCGGCGCACGCAGCACCTGCTCCGTGAAGCGAAGAAACGCGCGCATGTGCTCGAGGGCATGATCTACGCCGTCGTAGATATCGACGAGATTATCCAGCTCATCAAATCTTCCAAGACGCGCGACGAAGCGATCAACAAGCTCATGGAGCGCCGTTACACGATCCCATCGGATCATCCCGCTGCGGCACAAATCCCGCAACGACTCATGGCGATGGTCCGTGAAGCGGACAACCACGGCGGAACCGCTTTGACACGCGTCCAAGCGGAAACCATTGGTGCGATGCGCCTCATTCAGCTCGTTGGTCTGGAAATCGAGCGATTGGTCAAGGAGTACACCGAACTCGTCGTCGAAATCGAAGGATACGAAGCAATCCTCGCGGATCATCGCAAGATCCTCGACATCATCGTCGAGGATTGCGAAGAGATGAAGTCCAAGTACGGGCGTGACCGTCTCACCTCGATCGAGGACGCGGCGGGTGATATCGACATCGCGGCACTCATCCAAGAACAGGACATGGCTGTGACGATCTCACATCAGGGTTATGTCAAACGAGTCCCGCTTGAGACCTACCGCTCTCAAGGGCGAGGCGGCAAGGGCATCAAAGCATCGGATGCGAAAGACGATGACTTCATCGAGCACCTGTTCGTTGCTTCGACCCACGACGATCTGCTCTGCTTCACTGATACGGGACGCGTGTTCAAGATCAAGGTTTACGAACTCCCTGAGATGGGACGCACGAGCAAGGGCAGACCGATCATCAACTACATCGATCTGAAGCCGGGTGAGCGAACCTGCGCGTACCGATCGATCAAGGACTTCGAATCCGGATCACACTTCCTCACATTCGTCTCCAAAGGCGGCATCATCAAACGCACCGCGCTCAAGGAGTACCGGAATGTCAACCGCTCCGGTCTGATCGCTGTTGGACTCAAGGAAGACGACGCGCTCTTCAACGTCCGATTGACCACAGGTGTCGATGACATCATGCTCATCGCGTCCAACGGCATGGCGATCCGCTTCAACGAGCAGGATGTGCGACTGATGGGACGCTCCGCCGCAGGAGTCAAGGGCATCGAGCTCGGGAAGGACGCGGAGATCGTCGGGATCATGCGCGTGCCGATGGTGACCGATCAAGAAGACGACGAAGTCCGTCACACATCGCAAGACGCGCTCAATCGCGGACTCAGCGTGTTGACTATCTGCGAGAACGGCTACGGCAAGCGAACGCTCGTCGATGAGTACCGCGTCGCTCCAGAGAACGGCCCGATGCGCAGCCAATCGCGCGGTGGCAAGGGGCGCAGCGATATCAAGACCACCGCTCGCAACGGACAAGCCGTCGTCGCGGTGGGGGTCTACGACGCGGATGATGTCGTGGTGATCTCGCGAGGTGGACTGCTGGTTCGCATGGCTGTGGATTCAATCTCCAGAATCGGTCGAGGGACCCAAGGCGTGCGTGTGGTGGGGCTCAAGGGTGACGATCGGGTGATTGCTGCTGCACGAGTTGAAGAATCTGAGGACTCAAACGATGATTCATCTGTTACAATCGAGGAGCAGTCATAACGGCTGAAGAAAGGACCACAGACATGGCCATCGATTGGTCTTCCGACATCGCGATCGCGAATCTTGCTGATGAGCCGGCGTTGTCCGATGAGCTCAGCACGCTGATCGAGCGGATCGAGAGTGCTGAGTCTCCTCCGCATTTGGTCCTCGACTTTCACGAGGTCACCTATGTGAACTCTTCCAATATCGCTCAACTTCTTCAAGTTCGCAAGCAACTCGAAGACAGCACGCGCCGACTTGTGCTCTGCTCAGTGACTGATGAGGTTATGTCCGTGCTCATAGTTTCTGGGCTCAATAAAATCTTCAATTTTGCTCCTGACACACTTACGGCGATCGCATCGGTGCAGATCGAAGACACGCCTGCTTCTTGAGTTGTGTTTGAGAATCGCTTTCAGGGTTTACGACTGCTCGCTTAGATCGTTCACGAGTTCGTTTATCGCTGCGGACCTCTTGGACTTTGGAGCGATGAACAACGCGGTGATATCGTCAGGTTGATGGAGCGATCCCATCTGGAGATCAAGGTTGTCTTCCAGGAATCGGATCGATTGATCAAGATTCTTGGAATCTGTTCCGGCTGTGCTCAGCTCTGTCAAGTATGTCAGTGTTGGACGCTTGCGTTCATGCTCATCGTCTGCAGTATTCGGGAACGCGACCTCGAATCCATCTGAATAAAAAACGAGGACATCTCCGGGATCCAGCTTCACAGTAGATTGTTCAAACTCTACATCCTGGAAGATCCCAAGCAATGGTCCTTGTGAATCAATCATCTCTGTTTCGCCTGTCGCATCACGCACAACCAGCGCCGGCGGATGACCTGCTCCAGCGATCGTTACTTCATTCGTAGATTTGTCATAGATCGCGTACATAGCGGTGGCAAATCGCGCATTTTTACCGGTATGGACGGCCATGGTGTTGTTCAATCTACGCAAGGCTTCTGCAGGTTCAACCACTTGCGAGTTTGTGCCAGAGCCATCGAGTTTGCGAAGCCCTTGCGTGATGACCATCGTCATGAGCGCTGCGGGAACGCCGTGACCGACGGCATCGGCGATGAAAAACGCGGACCGGTTTTCGTCGAGCTGACAGATGTCATAAATATCACCCGACACATACGAAGCAGGTCGATAGATGATCCCCAGATCAACGCCGTCGATTTCTGGGACACCAACAGGAAGATATTCACGCTGGATGCTTGCTGCCGTCTGGAGTTCTTCGTGGAGTTTCGCGACCTCGGACTGCACGCCGTGGATCGTCATTTCGCTGAGTCGAAGATCGGTATTGAGTCGATGCAACGCGGGCTGACGCTGCGCCAGTGTACGGAGCATCAACGATGCGTCGTGCGGCGTTGTCGTCATCGGTTCACACAATATCCCCTCGGCTTGCATGAACGAACGCACTTTGGTTTGGGCCTCATCAACAAGGACCAACGCCGCGGAGTGCGATTCGCTCAGCATGTCCATCAGCTGGCCGATTTGTCTGTCTGAAGTGTGCTCTGAGATCACGATAAGGGTCGGTGCGCTGGAGATGAGCTTTGTGGAATCCGCATTGAGCAACGCTTCGAGGGTGATCTCTGCAGTGCCTAATCCGAAGGCAGCGAGCTCCTTCATGAGCGAGTCAAACCAGCCGGGCATCAGCTTATGGACTTCTTCGATCCCTGAGACCAGCACGGCTGGTCCTGAGAACTCATCGTGGGAATCGGTCAGACGCATCGACATGAGGGAACCCTCCAACGGCACAAGTTCGCCGTGAAGTGTCAATCGGCGAGATCCGGGATGATGCGCTGTTTGACTGTCATTCGAGGGATTCAACACCTAGGGAAGCTCCCCCAGCCGGAATCACGCGTCCGATGATCGCTTGGATGTACCGATAATCGTCAGATTTACTGCACGATCGATTCGAGATATGCCGTATCGAGTTCGATGAGTTGACCTTCTTTGAGGTTCATTGTCTCGAGATTTCCGCCGAGGATCTCGATCGCGTATTTCGCGTTGAATCGGCTCGAGTATTTATTCAGCCTCAGCTCGTACTGGATATCAGATTCGTCTGGTCTTTGAGGTTCTTCGATCGGCATGTGATGCATCGCAACGATTCGTCCCGTTGAATCGAGGAAGATGATGTCGATATCGATCAGACAGTCCCGCATAACGAACGCACGCATCTTCGAATCTGGGAAAGCGAACAGCATCCCTCCGTTCTCAGGGAGCGATTCCACACCACCGAGCCCACGCTCGCGTGTCGCGTTGTCCGCGACGATGTCGAGGGTGTAGGTTGTGCCATCCAGATTGACCTTCGCCTTTCCATCGACGATCGCAGGCTTAGAGCATCCAACCAGAAAAGCAGCAAGACCGAGCATCGAGAGCAGGATGAATCGTCTTGTCATGTGGATCTGAGCCATTGGTCGTCCTCGCTGGAAAAGAGAATGTCTTCGTGTGGGAGTGTATCAAGATCAAACCCATCAAGGAAGTCCGCAATGCTCATTGGTTGCCGAGTATCCGTCATTCCACACCAAAAACCGATGAGTCCAAGGACTTGCTCTCGTGTGGTTCCCTGAGATCGATAGTGCTCAATCCGCGTGTCGCCGTGCCGTTTGGCAAGTCTTCTGCCGTCCTCTCCACGAATCAGCGGGAGATGCGTGTAAGTGGGGGGCTGCTCGTATCCAAGTGCTCGCTGGAGCACGATCTGACGAGCTGTGGAATCGAGCAGGTCATCACCTCGAACGATCTGATTGATCCCTTGCTCGTGGTCATCGACCACAACCGCGAGTTGGTAGCTCGGACATCCACGCCGAGTCCAGACGACAAAGTCACCAACGCTCTCAGCAGGATCGATCGACTGTTGTCCAACAAACTGATCGAGGAAGTTGATGTCGCCTTGCTGGACACACAAGCGCCAGTTCGTGCCTTCATCTTCGAAACTCGTCGGGATCGTCTTTGGACGCAGTGAAGGATCGAAGCGGATTTCATGTGTCCCCTCATTGGGAGCACTGCTCGCGGCTTCAATTTCTGATCGTGACAACTCACATGGATACACGAGTTGCTTGCCTGCAAGGTATTGCATCGCACCCTTGTGCGACTCGATGTGCTGGCTCTGTATGATGGGTTCCTCGTCCCAGTCCATGCCGAGCCATCTCATCGTCTCGATCGTCTGTTCGATCACGCCAGGCTTCACACGAGGGGTATCGAGGTCCTCGATCCGCAAGATAATCCGCCAATCATTCTGACGAGCTAGTGCCCAGTTGATCAAGAATGTGCGAGCATTCCCCAAATGCAACGCGCCAGTGGGGGATGGCGCCAATCTGGTCGATTTTTGGTTGGAAAATCGGGATTCACACACGGCGATTTGAGTGTACACTATGGTCACAGCGCAAGCCAATGGAGCAAGTGCCTCTGTTGCTCGCGCTCGGTAGATGTGCGTGCGTGGCGCAAGCATCGAGGAGGCATCTGTGACTGAACAAGCACTCGGAAAGCTGAGCGATGATCAAATCGCGGCCCAGCTTGAGGACTATCCAGAATGGGCAGAACTCAACGGTCAGATCCAAAGGACATTCCAGTTCGAAGACTTCGACCAATCCATGGGATTCGTCAATCGGATTGCTGAGTACGCCGAGCAGGTCCAGCATCATCCAGATATCCTCATCCGCTACAACAAGGTCACCCTGACTGTCTCCACCCACGACGCGGGTGGGATCACCCACAAAGACTTTGAGCTCGCAAAGACCGCCGACGGCATCATCGCGTGATAGTTGTCAAAAAAAACCGAGGAATGAATCCTCGGCATTGAAACGAGTCAGCTAACTATTTAACGAATGAGTGTATCGATCGCTTCCTGTGTCGTGACGACTTGGTTTGCGATCATGCTGTAGTTGACCATCGCGGCTTCATGAGCATCAAGGCCAGGTGATGCGACCGCGTCATGGATCATCACTACTTCAAAGCCTTGCTCAATCAGTTCTCTTAGATGTCCTTCTGTACAGAGGTTCCCAGCCAAGCCGCCGATGAGGACTTTGTTTACGCCGCGCTTCCTGAGTTGAAGTACTAAATCATTGCTTTCCGGTCCAAAGACCTTGTGCGGATTCGTGATCACGGTCTTGCCGTCAAAGATGTATTTTTTGTAAGGCTCATATATGTCCGCGCCTGAATTGTGAAGCCCCGCTCTGTAGTACGGATCATCAATTTTGTACATTTCTCCGTCTTCGAGAGTCTGTTGGATAGCACCGCGGTGCTCCCATTCGCCATCGTGTTCGTGGTACATGTGCGGGCTTACGAAGACCGGGACCCCCTCGATCTTCGCGGCTTTGAGAAGTGCTTCGATATTTTCGATAGTGTTGTTGCGTTCAAGATCTTCTTTCACAAATCCGTACGCAACACCGTCCTCGCGTAGAAAGTCGTTCTGAGGATCGGTGATGAGCAAAGCGGTGTGCTCATGAGAATCGAGTTGTTGCTCAACCATGTTGATTTCAGTCACTTCTGTTATTCCAGTCAGTTCGCTGCCAGAGTGGACACCAAGTGTCATCGCTCCGATTCCAGCCGACGACATGAAGATCGCCGAGAGTGTGATAGTGGGGTTCATCGTGTTCTCCTTAGGCATTGCTACGTACCAACCGGTTGGTATGTAGCTGGGGTAAAAAAATATCACTCAACTCCAATCCGAGTTCAGTGTGTTGGATACAAGCTGTTTAAAGCACAGCATCGATTCAGCCATTTTCTTGGTATCGTCAGTGGCTTTCGAGAGCACCACCCCTCCCTGTAGTACAGCCATGAACTGTCTTGAAAGCACCGCCGCGTTGATTCCGGGGATCTTTGGATGTTCCTTGAGCGCAGCTTTGAAGTGGGGTTCGAGCGTGCTTGTCAATCGGACCAATCTGTTCTCGATGATCATTCGTATTTCTGGGTGCGTCTGACTGAGATCCAACGCAAAGCTGCCGAGAAGGCATCCATCTTTCAACAGCGGCCCCTTGAGCACCGCGATGACATCGTCTAGAAATGCGAGCACCCGATCCTGAGGGTCGTCGTGTGCTAGCCAGCCCTCGTCAGCGAGTGCTTTGGTGAGCCGGTCAAAGTAGTGGTCAATTAAAGCGATCGCGAGATTATCCTTGGATTCAAAGTGATGGTAGAAGCTCCCCTTGGTCACGCCTGCGGATTTGCAGATCTCATCGACTTTCGTCGCCGGATACCCCTTAGACAGCATCAACGCCTGCGCGGCGTCGAGTATTGAATCGCGATGTGTTCCTGATTTAGACATACCAACTAGTCGGTATTTTACAGCGCTGTCGAAGTATGTCAAGGAGATTGGCTAAAAGATTCAATTTCGAACTTCTTAAGCTCGACCGATCAGTGCACCTCTCGAGGAATGTATTCCACGATGTGTAGCGATCGCTTTTGAGCCGTCTCGGCGATCATTAATTTGACTGTGGATCTCAACTGATTTGTGATATGATCGGCCATTCATATTTGGGTATTTTTCATTTTGATCAATTTACTGTGAGTATTGTTAGTGCGTATTAAAATCAAACGATGGCCTAGCCCAAATCGATTCGCCTTCGGGATTACTGATGATCCTGATCAATCGAGGCTACATCGCATTCAGAAAATTTATACATTCTGTGAGCGACTGGGTATTTATCCCACACGAGGGACCTGGGTCACTCCGCCAGTTCGCAGATGCGGAATAGTGAATCAAGGACTTCCGGACGATGGCGTGACCCTTGAGTGCGATGAGTATCTTGAATGGTGCAGAGCGTACCAGTCAAGAGGTGGTGAGATTGCGCTGCATGGCATTTCATCTGGGGACAACACGCGAGACGAAGTCCGTAATGGCCTTGAACAATTCAAAGAGTTGCTCGGTAGTTCTCCAAGATCCATATTTTTCCACAAACACAACGCTGAGAATCTGTACTGGGGCGAGAGCTTTACCACATCAAAATTGAAGAAGTTTCTTGTAAGGTCGCTGGTACCAACAAACCACGAGCGGTACGAAGGGCATGAGCCTGAGAGTCGTTTTTTTTTGTGGTGATCTCACGCGAGAATCCATCGAGTACACCCGGCTCTTCCGCACAACGTCCCTCAATGTTCTCCGGAAATCACCCAGCATGCCGTTTCATATCCCAGCAAAGCCCTTCGTGAAGTTCTGGTTTCATGCTTCGGCTCAGGATTTGGAGATATGCAAGAAAGTGACACCTAAATCGCTCGATCGAGTCGCGTATCAGGACGGTTTAGTACTGTTGTACGCTCATCTTTCCGAGAACTTCCTCGATGAGCATCACCAGATTCATCCGATCGCAAAGACAGCATTGGAGCGTGTAGGCTCTCGTCAGGATTGCTGGAAGGTTGGTGTGTCAGAGATACTTGATCGATGTCTCGGTATCAAGAACCTTGTGGTCACGAAGCATCGCAACGGCATCGTTGTGGCGAATCCAACACAAATCGATCTTCATGATGTTCAAATTGAATCATCAAGGAATGTGTTTTTGAGCAACGGGGAAGAGCTCAAGAAAAATGTGATTGGCTTTTATGTGATTCCGCACATCAGCGCGAACAGTTGTGTCGCGTTGTACCCGACCGCATCAGCAGCTGAAATTGGTGATCCGACTGGATCACCAAGGCTCGGGATTCTGAGGATGCAGTACGAAGAAATCAAACGGTTGATTCTGATGCGCAAGCACTACAAAGGGTTAGAGCAGTCATTTGTTAGCGAAGAAGACTTGGTGAATCGTAGTGAGCGCAAGAAAGAACTACTAAGCAATTCGATAGAAGTTTAGGTGTAAGTCATGGGCTCTAAGAGCGATCCGATGGTGTATGTATTCGGAGCCGGGCCAGCAGGTCTTGCGGCAGCGCATACCGCGTTCAATCTTGGTTCATCTGTACAGGTGTTCGAGGCTTCAGCGGTACCAGGTGGACTCTCCCGCAGCATCGAAGTGCTCGGTGGGGTAGCCGATATTGGTCCGCATGTGATCGGTTCGGATTATGCTAGAGTCAACGAGATACTCAGCGAAGTCATGGGAGGAAGGCAGGAATCCTTTCAGCTCAATACCACGATGCTGTGGAAGGGGCACGACTTCTCGTATCCTCCCAAGCCGCACGAGATACTCACCAAGCTTGGTATGTATAAAACGCTTCAGATCGGTGTTTCCATGGCTGTTTCACGCTTGAAACTTCGATCGATTTCTATTGAAAATCATCAAGAGCAATCTCGCAAGAAGTATGGAATGGTGCTGTCGAGCGAGTGCATTGAGCCGTATTTGGAACGACTCTGGGGTGTGCCTTCAAGCGAGATCTGTGCTGATTGGAAGCCAGGCCGATTGATTCGCTCATCGATCATGAACTGGGTTCGCACCGCACTGAAATCAAGCGGGGATGTCCATGTATCGCATCCAACACACGGTATGGGGGATTTCTACAAACAACTTGCATCCCAACTTGAGGAAGTTGGATGTAAGATCTCATACGAATCCAAAGTTCAACGCCTATCTCATGACCACGAGCGAATCACGGCAATTGAGTTCACCGTTGAAGATGAAACTGAGCAAGTTGTGATTGATCCAAACACGAGAATCGTCAGCACGGTCCCATTGAACTTGCTTATGCGGCTGTTTGATCCGGAGCCGCCAGCAGAGCTTTCTTGTTTGTTGAGCAAGATTAAATTCCGCAGTACGATTCTTGGATTCGTCATAGCAGATCCAGACTCGGCACCGAAGCAGCACATCAGATACATCAACGATCCACAGTTCAAGATCAGCCGGATTACGAACTTCAACCGATGGACAAGCGGCATGGGGATTTTGGATAATTCAAAGCATCTCCTCTGTTGCGAAATATGGGTTGATCCAGAGAGCTGCTGGGAAATGGATGATGATGAACTCGTCGGGATCATGATACGGGACCTGGATGCCATGGGAATACGCGGGGCATGTGACTCACTTTCTAAAATCCTCAGGGTTCCTAACACACATCCGATCATCACGAATGAAGCAAGAGCGGCTGTAAATCAAGTGCATGAGTACTTGAACTCATTCAGCAACCTATTGCTCTCGGGTCGAGCAGGCGCATTCGAATATGCCGACCAAGATCGCGTGCTCGATCTGAGCATCCAGCGTACAATCGAATTCCTGAAGGGTTAGTACTATTACTTCAGCTCGACCGACCAGTACGCTTCATCGAGGAATGCTTTCCACGATGCGTAGCGTTCGCTGTTGAGGCGCATGGAGATCAGCGGATTGCGTTTGGGTTGGATCGGCTTCTTGATCAGCTTCATGTTCGCCTGCTCAGGGGTGCGTCCGCCCTTCCTCGAGTTGCATTTCACGCACGAACACACAAGGTTTTCCCATGTGTCAGGGCCGTCTTGTGTTCTTGGGACGACATGGTCGATCGACAGTTCTGAGGTCGAGAAGTGTTTGCCGCAGTACTGACAGCGATTGTGATCGCGTGCGAATAGATTCCGGCGATTAAGCTTCACATGCTGCGCTGGGAGCTTGTCGTACCCAACCAAGCGGATGATCCGAGGGACCGCAATATCGAAACGGACAGTCTTGATCCAATCATGACGATCGGGTTCGAACTCCTTGCGGAGTTCAGAGAGCTCAGCCCAAGTCGAGAAGTCGTAGTTTGCATACGAACCATCGTCGGCGTGGATGACCTCCGCGATCTCCCTGCTGAGCAGCACAAACGCACGGCGTGCTGTAACGACGCGGACTGCCATGTAGAGCTTGTTGAGCACAAGCACCTTTGCATCCAGACCAGTGACGAGGTGGTTGTAATCAAGTGCTGCGGCACCGGCGCCCTCAGAGCCGATGCCGCCGGCTATGCCGGTAACCGACTCGGCACGAGTACCCCGCCCTGACCTCAGAGCCTTGGATCGTCTCGATTTGGAGCGTTGACGACGGGGCATAACGGACCTTGATACGGAGTTTGTACCACTTTTTAGCGGCTACAACAACTCCATACGCACCAGAGGCGTCAAAGTTTGGTCAAGAATCACACGATCGTGCACGCATAACCGTTTCTGATTGGATATGAACCGGCCGATAAAGCGTAATTTAGTGCCGGAAGTGACGCACGCCGGTCGTCAAACAGGTCACGCCGTGCTCATTGCACAGATCAAGCGTGTCCTGATCCCGCTTGGATCCACCCGGATGCACGATGGTTGTCACTCCAGCATCGATGAGCAGTTGTGGACCATCATTGAATGGGAAGAACGCATCAGACACGGCGATCGATCCCTTCGCAAGCTCTCCCGCTTTACGGATTGCTCCATGACACGACGCGACTCGATCCATCTGCCCCGCGCCGGCGCCGAACAATCGCACACGCCCGTTCTCGATCCCGCCGAGCAGGACGGCGTTGGATGAGAGCGCGGTACACATTGGTTCAAGCACTCTCGCGGCGCGAAGCACCTCGTCACTCGGCTTTGGACCCGCTGCGTGCTCCCATGTCGATGGATTAGGTACGATAAGATCACGATCCTGGAGGAGCATCCCGCCTGGGATCCATTTCATCTCGCGAGCGATATCTGCTCTGTGTTCCCCGACCTGAAGAATCCGGAGATTCTTCCAGCGCGAACGGAGTAGTTCGAGCGCATCGTCGTCGTACGACGGGGCGATGACGACCTCGAAGAAAGTGCCTTCCGCTGTGATGCGTTCCGCGGCTTGCTTGTCAATCGTCGAGTTTGTCGCGAGGATACCACCGAACGCTGCCATCGGATCACCCGCGATCGCGGCATCCACAGCATCACTGATCGAACCCGCACACGCGGCACCACACGGATTGGTGTGCTTGAGCACACACGCACCGTGCTGATCAGGCGCGGCTGCTTTGAGTGCTCTCGCGAGCTCCAGCGCCGCGCTCGCGTCGTTGAGGTTGTTGAAGCTCAAAGGCTTGCCGTGGAGTTGCTTTGCGTTAATCAGCGTGCCGTCTTGAGCTTGACCGATCCTATACAACGCCGCGGCTTGATGCGGATTCTCACCGTAGCGGAGGTCGTCGATCTTGGTCATCCCGATCGAGAGCTTGTTTGGGAGTTCTGTGTCTGCCCCGGTCATCCACGCGCTGATCGCGGCGTCATAGTGCGCTGTCGCTGTAAACGCGTCCGCCGCGAGCTTCTTGCGGAGCTCGAGCGTGGTAGAGCCGTTGTTGTTCTTGAGTTCTTCAAGGATCGAGGGATACTGCGACGGATGGGTGACGATCGCGACGGATTGA